TGCCCCCTCGGCTGGGAGGAGCAGCCGCCAAAGCGAGCCGGGGCTGTAAGAAGTGGCTTTTCCCTGTTAGAGTCCTGGAGGGACCATATAAGTAAAGAGCTTTTTCCAGTGAGGTGAATGGATTTTTCTGTAACAGAAATAACCTATGTAAAATAAAAATGAAGTTGGCAAGCAGCGTAAAGGCTTAAGCTTAATAAATGCGATATTTAGTGGTGTATATTTGCTGCTGAGTTTGTAAAGAAAACCAGACTGCAAAGCTGGTGGAAGCTACCAACTAAGCACCACAGAAAGGAATGTCTTGAAGTGCTCAATCATCAGAAGGCAGTCGCCTTCTCGCCCAAGGACAGACTGAGGACAGTGTCCTTCCTGGAGTGTATTCATCGAATGCCCGTCAATGGCAATGTGAACAACTGGCTGAGGGTTTAAAAAGATGAGACAGTTGTTAGTCTATCTCCGGGTGAAGGTGGTGGAGAAGAGAATAAGCGGTTAGGGAACCCAGATATTTTCACCAATAATATTTCACGCTATTCACTAGCTACAGGTAGTGCTTTCTAGGTTAATGGCTATTTTAAATGCAAGCATTTCATGATCCTTCCTTTACAGTTTTTCTTAGCTAGACAGTACATTAAAGATCACTTCTTCATTTTTAATTTAACTTTTGTATATTTTAATCACTTTACTCCTATCTAAATAAAACACGAACAATCAGCAAGTATAGAGCATATTTAACCATAGATCACTGTAATTAAAGAACAAAGAACTCTGTGTACTGTTGTTTAATTACTTAAATATATGAGTAGAGATAGTAATTTCAGTGTAAAGAACTACAAAGTTCGGTGTAAAATCCCCATTTAATTACAGAGCAGCATGTTGTAATTTATACCAGCTAATAAAAACCATTCTTTCTTTAGAAAAGAAATTAGAAGTAGAAATGCAAAATAATATTAATGCTTCAAATAATTTTTTTTGTGATTCAGCATTACATTTGGTAGCTAGTTAACCTATTCTCTCTTTGTGTCATATCCTTCCTACGTTTGGAATTACTCTGCTGCATCGGTAAGCAAAACTGAGAGGCAGAATACCTCTTTCAGATAAGTTGTTTTCTTCTGCACCGGATGTGTCACGCAGTGAAGTCAAATGGATATGAGAATATCCAGCCCAGCAGCGCTTGCTGTGTCGTGTAGTATTATTAAAATGAACAGCTTTCAGTTGTTTTTATTTTATGAATTCCTTTACTCTGAAGTAGGGAAATGTGTGTCCGTTGTCTGAAAATTAGAATACGTTTATAGGTGTGAATACCCTAAGATATATGAACATGCATCATTTACAATGTAAAGACAGCAGCTGATGTTCACATAGCTGCGCTCTACCCTTCTGTTGTACTTTTCAAGATTCAAAATCTTGTATAATACCAACTTTTTGTCTAAAGATCATTGCTGCTGTGTTTGCTAGCTGGACTTATCTTTTACTACCTCTTGAAATAAATGGGTTTGCCATTGGTTAAAATTCCTCTCTTCCCTAAAAAGTTATTCTTGATTATTTCTCTTGGATGAATGTCTTGCACGTAGAATCCCAAGAACAACTCACTTTTCCTACTAGGAACCATCAAGTCTAGTCTAATTAACAGGTATAACAGGATGAGAAAATCAACAGGCACATTTGGTCTTGAGGTGTCATGTGGTGATGCCAGCAATGCTTTGGTGCTAGCCTGGGATGGATTCAGGTTGATTATATATAAATCTGTTTAGGTATGAACAATCATAAAGCACAACTGAGACATGACGTAGTATGCCACATAGGAAATAGTTGATTAGCTCAGCTCAGCTGTGAGCTGGATATACACTTCACATGGATCAGGCAAAATTTCCAAAGCTAGGCAAGATTATTAGTTTCTTTACATGTTGTTTATGCTCATAATTGGTATGACCTAATTTGCATTTTCAGATAACCATTACCAGATAAGATCCTCGGTGGCTATGTGCAATGCCAGATGCCATCTATGAACCAGCCATATTTAAACATTCAAATCTAACTTCAAACATCTGTATTTTTTCATCTCTTGTTAATAGTAAATCCATTATTAAGGAGACAGATTGAGCTCATTTGTATCAGTAATGCTGTAGGGGCACACCTTAATCTTTTAAGAAAAAAAGTTTAGGTCTGCTCTCATTAATCAGCACCCGCTGTGTTGCTTGTTTTTGGTTTTTACAGAACATAGGAAACTTGGCAATCTGACTGTGACAGTGAAAAAGACCGTCCCCTCTCCAGAAGCAATACAGATCCTCTACCAACGCATGAGATATGAATATGAGTTTTATTACTATGTCAAAGAACAGTTCCACCTGCTAAAGCGCAAGTTTGGACTGAAGTCTCATATCAGGAAACCACGTCCCAGACCCGAGTTCTTCATTCCTTCACCCCTGGAAACAGAGGAACCTATAGACGATGAGGAAGAAGATGATGAAAAGTGGCTAGAGGATATCTATAAAAGGTGATGGATGGAAGAACTGTCCTTTCTCTTGTGGTGACCCCTCCAGCTTTCTTAAGATTTTTTTAATTATTATGAAAAGTAATTCCTTAAGGAACTGAGTTAATGCGCAGCAGCATTTGAAATGGAACAGAAGAGACCTTTCCCACATACTGGGGCCATCAGGAGATACGTGGTTTAGCAGGTTTGATTCATTATACACTGTTGGCTCTGTAGCATCCTTGCTATAGCATAGTTCAAGAGAGAGAATTATCTACTGTCCATCACAAAATAACTTTTGGAGTACACAGTAGTCCTCTGGGAACCTACAAAACGTAAAAGAATAGATTAGGCGGTCTTGGGAGGTAAATTTTACAGACTCTCGTCTTTCTCCAGAAACAAGTCCTCATTGCATAGCACTGCAGCATTAACTGCCAGCAGTGCGGACTACGGGCAGTGAGCCTTTTGGGAAGAGTGCTGCTTTCTGCCCAGCGCACGCTGGTATCCCAGTGGTATGGTCAGAGCCACTGCCAGGCCCGTGCACGTCAAGGATAACGGGCTCAGAAAGGGGCTGGATAATGACCTCTGAATTACCCTGTGCGGGACAAGCGAGGCTGCTCTTCTGGCACATGAACAGTAGTGGGCATAAGGCAAGTTACAGGAACTAGGTGGTTTTAGTAAACCCTTCTAGTTCATGGAGTGGAAGAAGTTACCTGGTCAGTGAAGGGCAACAACAGATGAAAAGTGGAAGGCAGGGTTACCTGAACTGTAGAGTTTTGTTTCTGCAGTCGAGTGGGTTTCTATTAGACTCTGAAGGAAAAGGTGCCAGGTATGGGTTTTATGTTCAGGAAGGGTATTTGTAGATTTTTCTCCTTCTTATGGGTCACAAATCCAAAGAGATACGGAAAAAGTCACTCATTAAAAAATGTAGATGATCTGGAACTCCTATTAAGTGTGACTGGTATTTCTGCAATCGCAGAGTTTGGTTCTTCACATCTGAAGCTGAACGCAGCTGCCCCACCAGCGCAAACGCCAGACGTCTGGTTTTAGCACAGCTAGAAGTAAAATTAACAGTAAGGACATACACAACTTCTCTAGTTGAAATATTTCAGAATGATAAAACAAAGAAAAAGTGGCAGCCTACTCTGTGAAACCAAAGCCGATTCAGTGGTAGGTTGGTAACAGAGTCACTGTGAAGCTTGCCCTTGTTAATCACTGCAAGTATTAGCAGTGAACGCTGGAAGGGGGGCGGGTGGAGGCTAGGAGGGGAAAGGGGAATAGTTCCAACATGTGAGATGCTGTTGTCTTTAAGGTGAGTGTCCTTGGGGCTCCCTGCGATGTGCAGCCTTGCCAGCTGTTCGACAGCCTGGCAGGACTGCTGGCGCAGAAGTGACAGACCTGCAGGCAGCAGCGGGCAGAGCTATTTGGCTGCCTGCTCCGTAGCAGAATAACGGGGTTTCAGGGGTCTTGAAGAGGCCCTGGCCTCCAGTGCATCAGGTAATAGCAATAAATTCTTGTCCTAGAGCACAGGAGAGAAGCAGGGCTGAGGAATTGCAGCTCCTTGCCAGGATGAGTCCCAGTAACACTTCAGGGGCGATGCACCTCTGTCTTAACTCGCGTCCTTTCTCAGACAGCTGCTGGGCAAGTTTTGCTTCTGATTCTGCAGCTGCCTCAGCACCGTGTCTGCCATCTGCAAGGTAATCCTTCGGTTTGAAATAACAAGCAAAAGTTTTTTTGTGATGGACGAGGCATATAAACTCGGGCTAAGCTCAGATGTGCTTTCCAAGGGTTTCCTCTTTTGTGAGCCTGCTGAGAGCCAATAAAAGTTATGACCATCTTTGTCACCAGTCAGTCTTTACTGTACCTACATGTAGAGAATGAAAATAAAGAAGTGTAATCGTGTTAAGACAAGATGCTAACTTACAGAAAATATTACGTAGAAGATTCTGTTCTCATTATTAACATCCCAGGTTGGTGGTAGCAATGCACTACGGTGGGGGAGCACGTTAACGAAGATGAAAGTGGCACAGATAACAACTAACATATTAGCTAAAATATGAATCTGCTGCATTGTATATTTTAAGTGGTTTCTATGAAATTACATTGAAAGAGTAATGATTAGTTTACACACTGTGGAGTTGTTACATTTTGGAAAGAAAACTAATACTCTCGTCTTTCAGAAATTGTGTTTGACTTCATTTTGCCAACATTGTAACGGAATAATCAGTCACTTAACACATTCACCCTTCCTGCAAATTCATTGCCACTTACTGTAAACTCTGTTTTTATCTGTTTATTCAGTGGTATCTTCAGCCATCACTACTTATAACCGAAATACAAAACCTGTTTAATGATTTACTCGCTAGATTTTAAGGTTCTTGTATTTTTTGTAACAATCAACCTGGCCTCTCCTCCTTGAACGGTACTTCATAAATTTATCTGGCACATAGCATCGAAGATTCCTGGTCCTACAGCCTATTTGTCTGTCATGAAATATATTTTACTTAGTTGTTAAAAGGTACTTTTTAAGCTGGTTAATCTTTTACTTATTTATTGAAACTTTTCAGCACATTCCAAATTCTAAGTTGCTCAGGAAGAAGTTGATTTAAATGATTATATTTTGGCCTGATGAATATTTCTTTTTCCAAAAAAAATCATTGTTTGTAAGCCTTTAGCCCACAACAGCTTTGTAGGAAGTGCCATGCATGTACTTGTAAATCTTTGTGGGGGGAAAAAGGTGGGTGCTTGACATTTATGAAAATAAGAAAACGTATGTGTACATTAGCTTAGCTATAAATGAAAGCAACGTATGTTTTGGGATGAAATATTCTTTAACTTATTCACTGCCATCTCCTGAAGTATAGATAAGCCATACAACTATTTTTCAGTCCAGTGATGTTTAAAAATAAAACTTGTACATTTCTTCCTAGCTGCATAGTTCACTTGCTTACGCTAGTTTTCTTGCCTGGGTGCAGCGGCGGTGGGTCAGACGCTGGAGTTGCCCCTATCAGAACGGGACTGGATGCAGCACAGTTTATCATCTCCAAGTCCTATTTTAGCAGCAGGATTGGGGCAGGTTGTTCTTGGGTTATTCTGTGTCCCGAACTGTCTGGAGGTGTGAGAGTGAAGGCACAATTATTTTGCGCACTTGAGAGGTGCAGTAAGTACCCCAAATACGTTGTCTCATGGGCTTTGTGGCTGCTGAGTAGAAAGAAGTTTTATGCAGGAGGGAAACAGCTTGGTCCCCATACACTGCACTTTGCTAGACATGGTATTTGATGGCCAGGTATAAAAGCTCCAATAGTCTGAAGCGATGTTATAATGTAAGTGAAACATCAGTGCTTTCACACTAAAGAGAGAATCAACCGTTGTTAAAATGCAGCATTCTGGAAAAAATAAATTTTAGTTTAAAGTTTCAAGTGATAGTGACAAATGGTGCGGTTTTTTCTTCCTCTTTAGTTTTTTTCTCTTCCACATAAATTGTTCTGATGATGCAAGGCTAAGTCAGAGTGTCTAAAATGTTCTCTCCTGTGTGGAGAGGTAGCTCAGCAGAACTGAAGGTATGTGAAACTGATGGTGTGTTTGAAGCATTTAAATTTCTTTGTGATTCTTTATCATTGGACCTTTGATGAATTGTTTGAATGTTATAATATAAAATGTTACATAGTATCATAAAGACACAAACAAAATTACCAATTTTAAACACAGGAGAAGAGACTGTGGATTCCAGCCATTGAATTCTTCCTCCTTTCAGTATTTGATGTAATAAAAATATTTAATATAAAGGTAGATTTTTTGACTAGCAAAGGAAACCACGCTATATGCCAACTTGGATCCTCTTATGAAATGAAAAAAACCATAATCTGCCAAAGAATAAAACTCTACATCCTCTTAAAAAATAAAAGTCTGTCATTCCCAGTTGAGGGTAATGGTGCTCGGGTCTTTCCCTCCATTTTGAGAAAGGGAAGATCTGTGACATTAGACCACAACCTAAAACAACACAGCAACGTTATTGAGAGCTAGAACACTGTAATACAATACCACAGCATTCCTTCCTTTTTATGATGAAGGAATCAGCCTTTATTGGAAAGAGTTCAGCAAACGTATAAAACACTGTTGATCAATCTGCTTGCATGAGTCAAGACCAGAGAAAAGAACAGTTGTTACCTACAGACCTCCATACACACACTCCATGGGAAAAACAAGAAAGGTGTTACCAACCAAATTCCAAAGTGCCTGCCTAGTGGTGTTGGAACCACTGGAACCACTTCTGCAGGGTCTGTCCCAAGGGAGCGTTTGCAAAGTCGGGCTCTGCTTCGGTGCCCACAGGTGTGGTGGGAAGGGTGTTGGAAGGCATCTCCATGAGAAACAGCCTTCTGGGGGCGAAAAAAATCTCCTGCGAAATGTTAGAAGTGGATGGAAGGGATTGTGTTTTGAAGGTCAAAAGTTAAATCTCAACCAGCATAAATCAGTTGCTGATGTCTCAGTTACAGCTGAGAAACTGTCACACGTTTTCTTTGGTTTGCCCAGAAATGGCATTGCATGCCAGGCTGCGCACAAAGTGAGCTTCAAAGCTCGGTTGTAAGCTTTTGAAAACAGGTATGCGTAATAAAAGCACTGGCACACTGTAAAGGCTGCGACCCAGCGCCGATGACTGATGCTGTCATGTTGGAAGAGCCTGGAGGTGGGGTGGAAGGTTGTTCTGGGGGCAGCAGGGAAGCAGGTTTTCTGCAAATACGTTATTTGGCCTTTCAGGTGCCGTCAGATGGTAAGATTTGACCAGTGGTGTATTTGAATGTGGATTTTGAATATAAACATGCGGATTTCCTTTTCTGAGTACGTAAAGGAAGAATGCAAGTCTGGTTTTGTATTCAACTGATTGTGGCTGAAAGGGTAAGTTAATAACACTGCTGTCAGGCAGGCACGGTAGGCATGTGTTTTGTGCAAGCTTCTGCCATCCTTCTGTTCCCTCCTGTGGATCTGATGGGCAAAAAGGCTGATGGCAAAGAACTCTGCTACACTGCAGGG